TCTCCTCTGACCACCTCATAAAAAGGTTAATTCACAACCCTTGAGTTAATTTTTGTTAGGCTTTTGTTAAGAGTCTCAATGTGCAGCTATCGAAAAAATTCATTGTTTAGACTTCGACTGGATTCCCAATGGGACCTCGTCTGGAGCCAAACATTCATGCCAAATGGCCACTTGAAAAGGGCCTACTTCTTACTCTTTGCTGCATCATGAAGTCATCTCCTGTGCTTCCTGAACAGTGCTCAAGGCATGCCTTCCAGGAGAAGGAGACCAGCAGGGTGGGTGAGAGAACAGTGAGGAAGATCCTCCAAGGCACAGAAGCATCTTGAAATTTTTCTGTATTCATTCTATCATTTCCTTGGCTTTCCCTATGAGTCTCGGTACACAGGAGCTCCAGATTGTTCCCAAAACAGAAGAGATAAGGAATATGCTACAATTGAGCATAAAAATGAACTCAGCAATTCCTCAATGTGTCCCTGGCTCTAGCCACTAAGAAAAAGCTCTCTCCAAAAAGAAGATATTTAGGGCAGGTTTTAGAAACAGAGAACTCCAAACCAAACTCACTGCCATTGAGTCGATTCTCACTCATAGCAACCCCCTGTGGGTTTCCGAGGCAGTAATCTTTACAGAAGTAGATTGCCCCATCTTCCTTGCACAAAGTGGCTGGTGGGTTTGAACCACCAGCCTTCTTCTGGTTAGCAGTCAAATGCCTTAGGCACTACGCCACCAGAGAACATTGAAAAATCGAGAACTTGCTTTAAAAAATCAAAAGTATTTAAAAGTTTTGTTCCATTATGTCAGGAGAAACCTAATTTTTTCCTGAAGTGAGTTTTCATCTAGTATGCAGACATTACACACACACACACACACACACAAAACTTCATGAATATCAACTGGTGAGTTACAAAGTGTATTCGTTAGAAAGAACATAGACCAGTATCAGAAAGCATCACAGAGGCAGTCAGGTAAGCAAATAAGCTTGGTCCTGGTGGATTTAACCAGCTCAGGAGTTGGGTCAATGCAAACAAGGGCCAGGAAGGGAGGACAGAGGAAGAGAAGACTCAGTCTGATCACACAGGGATGGATATGTGTGGGGAAGGGAGATGAGGGCCGAGTAGTAGAAGATGGCGTTTTCTCTTTGTGGCTCCCAAGTCAGGAGAGGGCAAAATCCTGAACATTTGGAATTCAGCTTTGGGGAAATGTTCTTAGTGATCCCAGCACCCTCTGAGGCACTGAGTAGGGAGCAGAAAGTGCAGTCCAGAATGGAAATAGATTCTTCAACCAGAAGAGTGGCACGGCCCAATTCAGACAACTGTGCATGGCTCACGTGGAGCCTGGTGGCACAAAAGGGCACCATCCCTTCATGGTGCAAGTATTCCAGCCTGACTCTGGCTCACAAGGCACCTAGACCTAAAGCTTAGAGCCCCACCACCATGTCTGGAGGCCTGATGGTGCTCTGCCCTCCTGGGGAGAGAGACTGAGACTGAGAAACAGAAATATATCCCCCTCCAGAAGTCTTTCTGGAGCCTTAAGTAAATTAACAACATCTAAACATAAAGCTACTTAGACCTTCTCCCTCCCTGCCTTGATTTCTCTTTTTTCCCCTCATTTGCTCCTTTCTTCCTTCCCACTCTCCCTCTTCCTCTTCCTCTTTCTCTTATTTTGAGGAGATGCTGAAGACTAACATTAGCAAGGGAAACTGAACATATGGCTAAAGAATCTTCTAATAGGACTTCTGGAAGCCAAATCTTATCATTCTATGTTATCTCAGCCACTGGAAGTAGTCCCCTTTTGCTTGGAATAACTCAAGATCTTGACGTCATTTTTAAACCAAAGAGCAGCATGGGTTTTGGGATCTAAACCAAAACCAAACCCAACCCACTGCCATTGAGTCGATTCCAACTCAGTGACCTCCATTGGGTTTCCAAGGCTGTAAATCTTTATGGAAGTAGATTGCCTCATCATCCTCCCATGGAGCAGCTGATGGGTTTGAACCACTGACCTGGTTAGCAGCCCAATGTCTTACCCACTGTGCCACCAGGGATCCTTTTGGTATCTAAAGGGGCCTCTTTTCAAGGGAAAGAAGCAGCAGAATTTGATACCTAGGAAATGATGTCCTAATCAGCAACTGGACAGAAAATTGGCGCTAACGTTTATTCAGAGGCAGTAGGGATCTGAAGAGGGTGATAATGAGTTCTGTGACTTAACAGAGAATTCTCTTTTATTTTATAGTCTTGATAGAAGGTTGCAGGCTAAGGGAAAATAAACCAGATTTCTTAGTTAGGGGAAACTGAATGACATTAAATAAATAAATAAGAGTCCGTAAACTCATAGGTACTAAAAAAAACAGGCAGTCGGTCAAGGACCACTTCTGCCATACATTACAACTTTATGCAGAACTCTAAAGCCTTTTTTTTTTTTTTTTTCCCTCTTCCCCTGTGAGTTTAATAAGTACAGGTGTGCAACAGGAAGGCTTCCTGGCACAGTAGATTTAGTGTTCAGAATGTTGTTCACAGGCAAATTCCATTTCTGGTAATTGCTCTGCCAGCCTAAATTTCTCCTACTGTTGTGATGGCATAAGGCATCACTTCACTTTGCTTAGAACACCATGCAATAGACTCGCTGGCTCAGAATGGCCATCCTGTGGCTAGCCTGTCCCTGGGGAAAGCTGCATTTCCGAGGTGGAAGAAAGCAATTTTGTGCACACAAAGCAGCCCAGAGCAGCACTTTGGCATGAAATGATGCTGAGCAGAAGAAACCTTAGAAATAATATGAGGCCCAGCATCAGAGTCTTATGTAACAATCACGCCTTTTAGGATAAGAAGGGTGTTACATAGTCATGTTCATGTTCCCAGCTACCCTCCAGCAAAGATGAGCTGAGTGGGAGAGGGAAATGAAAAGGGAAGAGGGACTGAGAGTGGGAGGCTTTGGTCTCTGCCACTCTACCCCAGGACAACTTTGGTTTGGGGCTGACCGTGGGTCACTGAAGCTCCACTGATAACTAGGAGAGAAGAAGCTGGCCACGACTAATGATTCTACAGCCACAAGGTTGAATCTGGCTTTCAGAGCTGATGCTGCTATGCCTTATTTCTATTTCAACCAAAACAACAACAACAACAAATAAACAACTTCATAAGAAAAAGAAAGGCTTAAAAAGATCACAGCCATGGGCTGCTCCTATCCAGGAGGCAGAGTCTGTCTCAGCTACAGGAAGTGCCCAAGGGTTTAGCAACTGAAACCTCCAGCCAGAAATCCTCAGAGCCTCCCCATGGAGGAGCCTGGGAGGTGGGTTCCACTGGCTCCTGGCTGGGGAAGGAGGGCTCTATCTGCACCCTTCTCCAGGGATCCTTCCACCTACTATGATAGTCTTGGGGGCTGGGGAAGGACTTCAGGAAATGTTTATTTCCAAGGACTGCCCCAGATAAATGCAATGATTTAACAAAATGGATAGTCTATACTAAAGGAGCACTGCTTAGCCCAGAATGGGCTCTTTTTCCCAATGCTTCTGAGTTTTGGTGGTTAGGAATGACGTAAGTGGCCTGAAGCTGTCTTTTGCCTACCTGTGACTCTGGGAGGGATGAGCTCCGTCCTGGACCAGGGAATTATTCAGGGCCACTGGGGCCCATCTTATCACATTGTGTGATAAGGCCCCATCAGAGCCTGTTTGCTGGAATGAGGAGCCCAGGTCTAAGCTGAGGTATATTTACTAATCACTATAAAGATATCCTGACAAATGGACCCTCAGCCACAGGCCAGATGCAGAAGCTGCCAGGCTGAAAGGTCCCTTCTCACAGGAGGTCCTCAGTAAACTCAGACTGACACTCTCATTAACGACTCTTTGTTTCAACCCTTCTGCCTTTCCTGTATTTATAAAAGCCCTGACAGGTGATGTGTGGCCCACCTTGGACATGTGTGTTCTGCCCTCTCAGCAGAGTGGCTGGGAAGGCTGGGCCTCAGGCACTTGGCCTCACTGGGCTTGGCACAGAAATAGCCTTGCTGCTTGGCAGAAAGGCCTGTGGCTTCCTGGACCAAAGTTTGGGCTGACATTCGGCCAGCATGCGCTGCTATGGCATAGCACGGTCACACATACTGACTCACTTCTACTCTGGTTGACAAACAGATTCTTACTTGAGTCCCTTAAGTACCTCCATGCCACCCTATCCCCACCCTAGGGTTCCCCCATGACTAGCCTCTATAAGAATTAATGCCTGGCATCCACAGGGATCCAGCACTCTGGCCACAAACTTCCCCTGCTATGTGCGTTATTAAATGTTTTAACGTTACCTTTGCCAGAGCCTCAGGCACCTCATGGACCCTGGGGGACTTCCTTAGTCTATCCTAGCTGACACTCACAGCACCTACTATGTGGGTGATAGTTCTCCAAGATGGAGGCCTGTTCCTGCCAGCACCACCTGCTCACCACTTCTTTGACCCTCTCTGTCCTCTGTGGTTTGGGCTCTGGGCTATGGCTTTTCTCACTCAGACCAGCCCTTGCTGCTGTTGTCACAGCACCCTGGCCCTTTCCACTTTGGCTCTTTCCTCCCTCTCGGCCTCCTACCCCTTGCCACCTATTGCTCCTGAGCTTCGCCTGTGCTTCTCTGGGGGAAGCAAGCCACAGGAAAATGCATGAGATGCTGTTGCAGTTGCCCTGGTGGTAGTGGTGCTGACTGAGGAGCAAGAGTTGGTGAGGGACACTCTGGTCTCTGCTCCCCAGTTATGAGCCAAGAAGTCGTCCAGGCTTCTCAGGGCAGTGAGCATAGACACATGCCTGCTAGATCCCTCCATAGCTTTTAGAAGAGTAGGAAGGGGCAAAGGGAAGCAAAGCCATCTTCCTGTCCCTTCTCCATGGGAAGAGTCCTCCTTGTTCCTGTATTTTCTTTCCCCAGCAAAGAGGCAGAACTATGGCAGTGCCCATCTTGCAGAGGGAAATAAAGCAATTTGGTGGATTTGACTGGTTTTCCTTTTGTCCTTCACGTCCTCTTCTCTGATAATGCATGGTGTCTTTCCATCTTCCTCCTCCCTCTTCCTCCCCCCCGGGCCGCACTGGCTTCCCAATTCGGTCTTGGTTTTCTCCGTGTGAGAGAAGAGCATGCATCGGAGGGGGGAGCAGCTCTAGCATTTGTCGTCTTCTTCCGTGTCACTCAGGAGGTCACTGACAGCTCCACACATCATGCCTGGCCCGGGCCCTCCATGCCTACGCCGCCGATAGTGCCCGTTGGGCATCTGCCAGCTGTGCCGCAGGGGTGGGGCAGAGCCTATGGTGTTGGAGCGGCCCAGGCTAGTGGCCACAGCGGCTTCGAAGGTAAGTGTCTCCTCCTCACCACAGTCTGAGGCGTGGGAGTCTTCGTGCAGGGCCAGATAGGGCTCAGAGATGTAGCGCTGTGGGGAGGACTGTTGGCTCTGCTTCACGTGCGGGGAATTGGAAGACTCGGTCAGGCAAGCATTGTTGCTCTCCACAGCTTTGGAGGTGAGCAGGGAGCCACCTTCATTCCCGTCACTGGGTGGAGAGAGGCTTCCAGGGTGTCGCATCAGGGAGCTATAGGAGAGGAGGGGCCGAGGCTTTGGAGGGACTGGTGGAAGCTGCCGCCGGCTTCGTCTTGGGGTGCTGGTGTCAGAGATGGAGGGGATGGAGCTTTCACTCAGGGACCCAGTACCCTGTACAGCAGGATAGAGACGGCATGTTAGTCTGGGCCTGGCAGGATCCCTATTTAGGATCTTGTAAGGTTCCTAGCCCCTCTTATCGAGAGCCCTTGGAGTCTGAATTCTGAGGAAAGGAGGGCTGAGCTGGAGCCCCCTACTATGATTCACCTGTGCTAAAGGATGCAGGGATTCACAGATGGGAATGGTGGAGATTGAGGGGTCAATGTCCTCTAGACCAAGGCTTCTCCACCTTTAATGTGCACACAAATCTCCTGGGGTCTTGTTAAACTGCAGACAGTGAATTCAGCAGGCTGGGGGTGAGGCCTGAGAGTCTGTGTTTCCAAGAAGCTTCCATGCAATACTGATGTCATAGATGTCTGTCCCTGGAATAAATACTCTGAGTAGCAAGGGTCTGGAAGTTCTATGTATCGAATAAGGACATGCTGAAAGGAAGACTTTAAAAATATGAGAAAGACTCCAAAAAAGACTTGTTTAGCAATGCTCATTGCAGCACTATTCACAATAGCCAAAAGTTGGAAATAACCTAAATGCCCACCAACAGATGAATGGATAAACAAAACATGGTGCATACATGCAACAGAATACTACTCAGCCCCACTGGGAGGAATGAAGTCTTGATACATGCTACAGGATGGATGGAGCTTGATGACATTATGCTGGGTGAAATAAGCCAATCACAAAAGGAGAGATATTATATGACCTTACTTATGTAAAAAGACAAGAAAAGGCAAATGTATGTAGACGGAAATTTATTAGTGGTTACCAGGGAGGTGCAGTGGTTGAGGCATTTGGCCGCTAACCCCACCAGCAGCCCTACTGGAAAAACAGGGAGGCAGTCTGCTTCCATAAAGATTTACAGCCTTAGGAACCCTATGAGGCAGTTCTACTCTGTCCTAAGGGGTGGGAGGTAGGGGGAAAAGAGGGATTAACAGTGATGGAAATATCACATTGATTTTAGGGTAGGGTTGCATAGGTGATCATTGTAATTGGTGTCAATAAATCATATATCTGTAAAAGGCTGAACTGGCAAAAGCTGTGTGATAGATATATTTACAATGACCAAAAAGAAAAAAAAAAAAAAAAAAAGAGTAGCTGCTGTGGCTGCTTATGGACAACCAATCTCATGGGATTTGGTTCCTTGGTTTGGAGGGTCATGGTTTCATGGGGCATCCCAGTTAATTAACTAATAAGGTGTTTAGTACCTCTGTTCTACCTCCTAGTTCACTGTGTAGTGCCTGGGGTCTTAAAGGCTTGGAAGCAGCCATCAAGGTCACAATAATTGGTCTCTATTCACCTGGACCAACAGAGGTAAGAGTGTTAGGAATAGGAGGAAGATATGGAATATGTACCTAATTACCACCATGAACAATTACCTCCCTTGCCATGAGACCAGAAGAACTGGATGGTGCCCAGCTACCATCACTGACCATTTTGATCAAAGATCCTAAAAAAGAATCCTGATCAAAAGGGGGGAACTTCAGAACATAATTTCAAATTCTCACAAACTCCAGACTTTCTGCATGGAGGGTAAATGATTCCCTGAAACTACTGTCCTGAGATAATCTTTAAACTTTAAACCAAACCTATGCCCTGAAGTCATCTTAAAATTGAACAACTGTTTAGCTTAACTTGTTAGAAAAAAAAAAAAAAAAAAGTCTGTTTTGAGCAATATGCTCTTTTGAGAATGATCTATATGGGATCAAAGTGACAAGAGAAACTTGAAAGATTAGATAGAAACCTTTGGGGGCAGTGAGTTTATGTTCATGGGGAAGAACAACTCAGAAAAGGAGGTGAGAATGGTTTCACAACTCAAAGAATGTGCTCAATGTCACTAAATTGTGCATGTAGAAACTGTTGAACTGGTGTATGTTTTACTGTGTATATTCTCAACAGCAATAAATTAAATAACGTTTTGAGGAAAAAAGTGAGAAAGAAAACCACAAACAAAGTGAACAAATGCTCTGGGGTTGTTCTCTATGGGAAACCCTTCTTGGAAGTGGGTCTAAGGGAATAGCAAATTCCTTCTCTTACTTTTACTTCTTTCTTCCATGTCTTCATGGAAGTTTACTCATGGAGATTAACTTGGCTTTACATCGCATGACCATAAGGAGCTCTGGTGGTGTAGTGCCTAAGGCATTTGACTGCTAACCAGAAGGTTGGTGGTTCAAACCCACCAGCCACTCTGTGGAAGGAAGATTGGGCAAATCTACTTCCATAAAGATTTACTGCCTCAGAAATCCAAAGGAGGTCACTATGAGTCAGAATCGACTCAATGGTAGTGAGTTCTTGGTTTGGTTTTTATATCCCACAAATTCAACGTTAGCTCAGTCCACCCTTGACCTCTTCAATTACCCCCAAATGTATCTGAGCCCAGCTGTTGGTAGGTGGACTTCTAGGACATAGTTTCTCAAAGTGTGTGTGGTTTATAAACTCTTTGTTTCAGAATCTCCTGGGGGAAATGCCCATTTCTGAGTCTCACTTCTAAGTTACTGGAACAGAATCCTTGAGGCCCCAGGAATGTGCACTTGCAAACAAGCTCCACAGGTGCTTCTGTTCTGCACCAACATGGGAAAACTGCTGCTCTAGAAGGCCTCTCAGTGGTCTATGTCTCTAGAAGCCTGTTGCAGCAGCCTTCCTCTTTCCCATGGACCACTTCTGTTGAATGAGTCTCCCACCTGTGCTCTTAATACCTCGAACAGAGACAAGGTTGGGAGTGAGAAGGAAAGCAGGGCCAAAGCATTTTTTCACACAGCTCTGGCTATTCTTATTTAGGTATCAGCTAAGAAAAGGCCAGTAAGAGAGACATGATTTTCCTCTTGGGATGTCTGGAAGCTCAGTAAATGAGATTGAACTGCTCTCACTTTTGAATCCAAGCCTGAGAGATGAATCACCATTCCCACAAATACTAAGAATCAAACAATTGATCAAAGAAGTCCTTCTGGGGAAATTCCTCAACATCATAATACACACAAAACCAATGGCCAATACTCCTGTCAATGGGGAGAGACTGAAAGCATTCCCCTTACAAATAGGTACCAGACAAAAATGACTTTATCACCCTTCCTACTGAATACTGTATTGGAAGTCCTTGCCACAGCAATAAGGCAAGAAAGGGAATAAAAGGTGTCCAGATTGGCAAAGAAGATGTAAAACTGTCTCTATTTGCAGATGATGTAATCTTATACAAAGAAAATCCCAAAGACTCAGTAAGAAAAATTAATGGAACTAATTGATAGTTTCAGCAAGGTAGCAGGGTACAAGAGCAACATACAAAAATCAGATTCCTTTACACTAACAAAGAGAACACAGAAAAGGAAATTAGGAAAGCAACACCATTTACAATAGCCACCCAGAAGATGAAGTAGTTAGGAATAAATCTAACCAGAGACACAAAAGACTTATACAAAGAAAACTATAAAACATTATTACAAGCTTCCAAAAGAAACCTACATAAACAGAAGACTATATCATGCTCATAGACAGGAAGACTTAACATCAAGAAAATGTCAATTCTCCCCAAAGTGATCTATAGATGTAATGCAATCCTGATCCAGATTCCATCATCTTTCTTTAAAAAGATAAAAAATTTGATAGTAGCGAGAATTCAAAATGGAGTCTCATCAGTAGTCACCATGCTATTTCCCTCTAGCGTCTTAGTGCTTGAAAAACTAGGTACAGCAGTTTGAATTAAGGATTTTGGTTCTCTGAACAGCTCACTGAATCAGAGTGCACCAAACTCAGAGGAGTAGAATTAGAAGAAAGGTACAGCAGAAGAAATTAAAGATCTACCTGGCAGAAAGTGGACAGGCAGCCGAGAAAGGCCACTAGAGACTTCCCTGGGGGAGTGACCAGCAGGCCAGAACGGCCACCTAAGACCTCCCTGGGTCAAGGCAGAAGATACCCCATATGAGCATACCAGCGACCACACCAACATACCAGTGAACACCCCAAGAATCTACCTTCAGCACCTGATTTTATCAGTAACTTGAGTAGGTTAGGTGCAAATGGGCAAAGGCAGAACCCCTGCAACCCAAGCAGAGAGTCATTGGTGCTCCAGGGGTGTGAGCTCACTCCCCCCTCAATGAGTCACTGAATAGGCTTGGGTCAGCTTAGTGGCACTGAGAGAGAGGTCTGCACTTGTCTTTATCACTAGTATCAGGACCACAGATTACTAGCAGGCACTCTCCCAACTCCAGTGCAGCTGAAACCACGTGCATCTTTGGCGCCGCAGGTCGGCAGACTAACAGACAAACTCCCGAGCTGATTGCGATCGCAGTCTGGGTGGGTTGGGCCAGCGCTGCAGGCAGGCGGGGTAGAGAGAGAAATACCCACGGCCAATTGCAGACCCGGGAAGTTGCCTTTTTGGCACCAAGGGGCCTTGGAAGCGGGGTCTTTGTATGTGTCTGAGCCTAGTGGGAAGTGGCAACACCCTAACAACAGGAATCTGTCCTGAAATTGAGCTGCAGGCCTATAAATAACAGTAAGATGTCATCAGTAGCAGTCCGCTCAAAGCCGTAGAAACTGACCTTAGCAACAAGCTTTCCTTCTTCTGCTCCCACCTTCTTTGCCAATAACTTCACTCATCCAATAGAAGAAACCATATTGAGCCAACATAAAACCTCTTGGTTCAAACTCTAAACCCTCTTTAGGACAAACAGAAACCTATATCCACATTCCACACAGTGATTCCACCATCACAAAGAGCAACCCAGCATACCTGAATCAATAATTAAATAAAATAAAATATACCAGCTTCACCTTTTCAAAATATTAAACCATAAAACCAAGACAAAACAAATCAACACATAACCAACAGTTAAAGACAACCTCAGAATGTCTAGGAAACAACAGGCAACCTCAAACAAACAAACAAACAAAAAACAGGACAAGGCATTAGAAGCAAAACCACAAACAAAGGTCTCATTATACATGGAGGAAGAGGAGGCAATAGAATTACCTGAGAAGGAATTTAGAAGATATGTTTATAGAGCTAT